TTATGAAGATGTTGACTTTCATAAACAGAGAATGGAAAAACCCTTTCCTTTCCTTTCTGATACTATCCCCTCTTATCATTTAGGACTGTTTGTTCTTAATTTGTATTGTCTCGTATTTTGCCTCCTTATTGTTTCCTGCTCTCAGTCGAATAATTGTTGTTGCAATCATCCTCTAGAACCATGGTCGGCAAACTGCGGCTCTTGAACCACATGCGGCTCTTTGGCCCTTGAGTGTGGCTCTTCCACAAAATACCACAGTCTGGGCGAGTCTATTTTGAAGAAGTGGCATTAGAAGAAGTTTAAGTTTAAAAACATGGCTCTCCAAAGAAATTTCAATTGTTGTACTGTTGATATTTGGCTCTGTGGACTAATGAGTTTGCCAACCACTGCCTAGAACAATGAGAACGGAAGGCCACCTGCACAAGAGACCTGCCTTCCTGCTCCTTTGCAGGCTCTTCCGTTGCTGTCCGGGGGGGGGGCGGGAGGAGGGTGCAGGGGGAGGGAAGGAAATTCATCTTGTCTGGGTCATCCTCGGGCTAGCAGTTGGGTTGTGCTCCAAAACCTTCTCTGGGTTCAGTGATGTGCAGAGAACCCCTGGCTTTGTTGAAATCAAGGAGCTGTGTTTAGTAGAAGGACCTTAGCTCATGCAACTGGATGAGGGGTTTTTCTTTTTGTTTGTTTGATGAGTGAGCTCATCTTTTTTTTTTTTTTTTTTTTTAAATATATTTTATTGATTTTTTACAGAGAGAAAGAGAGAGGGATAGAGAGTTAGAAACATCGATGAGAGAGAAACATCGATCAGCTGCCTCTTGCACACCCCCTACTGGGGATGTGCCTACAACCAAGGTACATGCCCTTGGCCGGAATCGAACCTGGGACCTTTCAGTCAGTAGACCGACGCTCTATCCACTGAGCCAAACCAGTTTCGGCAAGTGAGCTCATCTTTATATTAGTGTTCTTAAGTGATGATTCTTCTTTGTAAGACTTCAGCAAGAAACAAAATCTTAACACTTCTAAATCAATAAACTCTTCAAATCCTGTTTTCACACAGACATAATGATGCAAAGTTTAAGAAGTTGAAGATGGCCCACAAAGGGAATACAGTCTCCACCCAGAGAGAGAGTTCCTCCAGAAAGTTTTCTGACATAATTAGTGATTCTCAGAGCCCAAATGGTGTCACTGCTCCTGCAAAACAGATGAGTCAGTAGGTACACGGAGACAGGACACGAGGCAGGAATGTCTTGGGATGAGCTGGCTTTCTTTTCCTCCAGACCCTTCCTCGGGCTGGGAGATTGACTCATCTCTCCCTTCCCACCGGGATTGGCCCCCGCCTCGTTCCCCATGTAAATAAATAATCCCTAAACGGGTGGAAGGCTCAGGACTTCAAACGTGGTTTGCTATTCATTTCTGTCCCAGCTTTAGGACAGTTAGATAAGACATAGTAATGAAAGAGTTTAGTCAGGGACCAAAACTGTTGTGGAAAATACAGTTTTTCTTTTGATGCCAAGAGACAGTATTAGCTAACAAGTTAAGGGTGCATCTCTGGAATGAGACTCTCTGGGTTCACGTTCCAGCTAAAAAAACTTTCTAGCCCTGTAGCCTGGGGCAACTTCTCAATCTCCTTGTGCCTCAGTTTACTGTCTTGTCGGGAGTGTAAAGATGGTGCTAGCTCACTGGTCTGTTGAGAGGGTTGAATTCTTACATGCAGAGCACTTAGAACAGTGTCCTGAGTAGCAACTCCATTGAATGAGTCTACATTAATAATAATGATATTATCAAATTCATAAAGAGCATTACATGGAGGCATTCAGGCATTATTCGTTCCAAAATAGTGAATTTATGTTGAGACTTTTTGGGGGAATAGAAAGTAGGTTGAAAAAATAAGACAGGGTACCAAAAGTCTGGGGAAAATCTAAAAAAAAAATAAAAATAAAAAAATGTGCTTACCACTGAGAAACAGTAGTGCCTGGGTATGAGATGGTGGGGAGGAGGGGACGGAACCATGGCTGGCATGATCTGGACTGTGCTGAAACACTGCGCATGCATCCCCTCGTTCAGCCCCAAATTCCTCAGGGATTGCTGCTATTATTAACATCCAACCACCAATGAGGATGCAGAGGTCGAGGGGCTTGTCCAGGACCTAGGTGCTCGATGGGCCGTTCCTGAGGGGTGCAGGGGCCTCTCCTGAGCTGAACCCAATGGCTTCAGGATCCCACGTGGATTCCTCTTCTTCCCCCCACAGCCCCCAAGTGAGCTCTTAGCTCTCCACAGCTTCCTCCTTTCCAAAAACATTCCACCTCTCACTTTGACCAGAAGAGTAAAAGTCAGTTATCTTCTTAATGTCATCTACATAGAATTATCTAGTGAATTCTTTTCATTAAAGTCAGCTCACCCTCCCAGACTTAGAGTCTGGCAGGCTGGGCATGGGAAGAAAAGAGGCCTGATCACGTGTGCTTGTGGAGTGACCCTTGTCACAGGGTCTCCTGAACCCTCATGGCAGCTGTGGGGAGGGGTGCCAATCCCCACTTTGAGGTCAGAAAACCGGGCTTCCGAGGTTGGTTTGATCAGCCTTGCAGCTACTAAGTGTTTCTCCAGGGATCACGTCCAGGTTTGTGGCTTCCTGCAGCCCACACAGGCACTCCCTTTCCTCTCTCCCAAGCGGCCCCCCTCCAACCTGTAGGAGTTTCTGGAAGGAATTGCAAGTGTGCAGGGAGGCAGCAGGAAAGGGAGGGGCCTGGAGGGGGCCGAGGCCACCTAATCTGCAAATATGGCCTGTGGGTCCCTCATTCTTGGTGCCCAGGCTAAACCTTCTTCAGTACCTTTCTTCCAGTCTCCCTCCTCCAGTTCATGACTACCATCCCCTTCCTTCCCTGGGACAGGAAGCATGCACTTCCATGACATGTCTGGAGTTTGCAACCGCTGACTTAAGGAGAGTGCGTTGAGGAGCTGCTAATGGCTGTGGCCATTTAGCCCTGAGTGCAATTATAACTACTTAGCTGGGTGCACCTTTGTGCCTGCTATTTCCCTTAAGGCTGTAAACAGCACCTGGAAGGGCTGGGGGAAATGATGATTTGGGGGAAAAGCTTCATTCAACATCCTGTTGGGTTTTTATTGAATTATCCAAATAGACCCTATTTCAGCTGCACTCTGGTGAGCAAACCTCACCGTCATTTCCTTCTCAGTTCCGCCGACATCACCAGGAACTGAACCCATGTGGAGATAGGCTCCACGCCAGATCAGGCTTCCTTCTCTGCCTGGGCGGGTGGGAGGGGAAATACCCTTCTCCCATGGGTGGGAGATTACTTGTAATCTCTATAATAAAAGCCTAAGCAACCGGTACAGCCGAATGACCAGAACGACTGGTCACTATGATATGCACTGACCACCAGGGAGCAAACATTCAATGCAGGAGCTGCCCCCTGGTGGTCAGTGCACTCCCACAGGGGGAGCGCTGCTCAGCCAGAAGCCAGGCTCACGGCTGGTGAGCACAGCCTAATGGTAGGAGCCTCTTCCACCTCCGAGGCAGCACTAAGGAGCAGCGAGCCAAGCCGTAAGGAGCAAGCAGGCGGGTGGTAAGAAGCAAGGATCCTGGATTGTGAGAGGGATGTCCGACTGCCAGCTTAGGCCAGTTCCCTGGCAGGGGGAGAGGGAGTCAGGCCTAGGCCAGCAGACAGACATCCCCCGAGGGGTCCCAGACTGCGAGAAATTGTGGGAAAACTGACTCCCAATGAACAAAGGCGACAGACACAAATTACAACCCCAGAAGCTGGAGCACATTTTGGGGATTTCGGGTTGTGTCTATGGCCATACCACCCTGAACATACTCGATCTCACCAGAATTGGGTGTTGTGACAACCTTAGAGATTAATCAATCTCCAAACAATCTATCTCATCATTGTCCTAATTCATGTAACTAGGCATAAATAGAAAGCAATTTACATAAACAGATAGAATTAGAATGAATCTTACCCAAATGGATTTTTTGCTTTTTCTTTTCTTACTTTATTGATCCATGAAATCTCAAATTAGCATTAGTTAATAGTTCCCACTGATAACCACGGTGATTAAAGTGAAAAGCCCTCCCATTGCTAAAGAGGTTTATAAAGGCTCCCACAGCTGTCATGTCATGTATGAAGTGCCATTTAATTATCAGCTTCACACTTAAGTAAAAAGGCAAAGGCCGCATCTGGTCCCACCACCCTTTCCCGGGGCCCCCTCTGCACCACGCTTCCCTGAGCCTTCCTGAGAACAGATTGCCTGGAGCACACACTTCTCACTTCAAGCTGCTGCCGGAGAGGCTGAGTGGGGCGAGGAGGCCTGGCTGCCTGCCTGCCCAGAGAGAGAGGTCACAGGGCACCCAGAAGGGAGAGGTGGCAAGCACACTCTGGGTCCCACGTCTGAGCTTCAGTAGTGAGGGAGTATTCCTTCCCCAAATATGCTAAGTAGAAATGCAAACAGTATAAATGACATAGTACTAAAATATCTATATATTTTTAAAAAAATATATTTTTATTGATTTGAGAGAGGGAGAAAGAGATAGAAACATCAATGATGAGAGAGAATCATTGACTGGCTGCCTCCTGCACACCCCACACTGGGGATCGAGCCCAAAATTCAGACATATGCCCTCCTGGTTCCTGAGTCAACACTCCCACTGAGCCACACCCGGCTGGGCTATATTTTAGTAGTTTACATTATTTTCCATTCTACTTGGTAAGCAACATCTCTCAAAATTAGATATAGTACAGAATACCACAAAATACCACCATTCTACATAGTTCCATTTCCTTATTTCTGGATTCTCTCAAGGCAAGAGAGAGAATTGTTTTAATCTTTATTGTTGAAAGTATTACATATGTCCCCTTCCCCCGGATTTCCCTTCAGCTCTCCCAGCCTGCCCCCTGCCCTCTACCCAGGCCCTCGCCACCCTATTGTCGGTGTCTGTTGAAGTAATTTTATCTTCATGTTCCCACTAAATTATTCCTTTTGCCTCTTACAGAATGAAGATATCCAGATGTTGTATTAAATACCCCCTACAGCAGAAAGTTTTCATCCTGTTCTTAGCCCTGTGGCTGTTCTCCTTGTTGAAGCTTCTGAATGTGGGAAGACTCCTCTTCCCCCAGAGAGGTATTTACTTGGTAGAGCACTTCCTCAGTACCTCCCCTTTTGTAAGGAACAGATACACCCATGTTAGCAACGAAATCCGGTATAAAGTTAACTGCTCAGGTGTCTATGAACAGGAGCCTTTGGAAATTGGCAAGACTCTGGAGATTAGAAGAAGAGACATCATCGACTTGGATGATGATGACGTTGTGGCAATGACCAGCAATTGTGATGTTTATCAGCTCCTAAGAAGGTACCATCAAAAGCTCATTTCAAGGGAAGAGAAGAGGTTCCCAATAGCCTATTCTTTGGTGGTTCACAAAGATGCAATCATGGTTGAAAGGCTAATCCACGCTATCTACAACCAGCACAATATTTACTGCATCCATTATGACCGTAAGTCACCCGACACCTTCAAAGTCGCCATGAACAATTTAGCTAAGTGCTTCTCCAATATTTTCATTGCTTCCAAATTAGAGACTGTGCATTATGCCCACATCTCCAGACTCCAAGCTGATTTAAATTGCTTGTCAGATCTTCTCAAGTCTTCGGTTCAATGGAAATATGTTATCAACCTGTGTGGGCAAGACTTTCCTTTGAAGTCCAACTTTGAACTAGTGTCTGAGTTGAAGAAACTCAATGGAGCAAATATGTTAGAGACAGTGAAACCGCCTAAAAGTAAAACGGAAAGATTCACTTATCACCATGAACTCAGACAAGTGCCTTATGAATATGTGAAGCTACCAGTAAGGACAAACATCTCCAAAGAAGCACCCCCTCATAACATTGAGGTATTTGTTGGCAGTGCTTACTTTGTGTTAAGTCGAGCATTTGTTAGATATGTCTTCAACAGCTCCCTCGTTAAAGACTTTTTTGCCTGGTGTGAAGACACCTACTCGCCTGATGAGCATTTCTGGGCTACCTTAATTCGGGTACCAGGAATCCCTGGGGAGATTTCTCGTTCAGCCCAGGATGTGTCTGATCTACAGAGTAAGACCCGCCTTGTCAAATGGAATTATCACGAAGGCCTTTTCTATCCCAGTTGTACTGGGTCTCACCGCCGAAGTGTGTGTATCTATGGAGCAGCAGAATTGAGGTGGCTTATCAAAGATGGACATTGGTTTGCTAATAAATTTGATTCTAAGGTGGACCCTGTCTTGATTAAATGCTTGGCAGAAAAACTTGAAGAACAACAGAGAGAGTGGATCAATTTGTCTTCAGAAAAGTTATTTATGGATAAAAATCCCACCATCTCGTCATGATAAAATCATGATGGAAACAAGGCATCTGATACATGGAGTTAATATGGAGTTGTATACTATCCCAAATCCATTACCACATGAACTTAACTTCCTAATGGTTTGAAAGGGATCTAAAATCCCATGCACGAGGGAGAGTGACTTAGCCTTTGGTGACAGTTAGCCTGTAGTTGGTTGAGTACTTTTGTTTGTTTCTTTAAAAAACAAAGTTTTTAAAAAATTGATTTCAGAGAGGAAGGGAAATGGAGAAAGAAAAACATCAATGATGAGAGAGAATCATTGATTGGCTGCCTCCTTCATGCCTCCATTGAGCCTGCAGCCCGGGCATGTGCCCTGATCAGGAATTGAATCACAACCTCCTGGTTCATAGGTCAGTTCTCAACCACGGAGCCTTACCAGCTGGGCCTGTTTGTTTCTGCCTGTAATTTCACTGAGATAAACCAGGGTTCTTAAACAGCCATCAGATACTTATTGATCTCCTACTGTATGCCAGACAATTTTTTAGAGATGTGGTGTAGCAATTAAGTCCAAGTTTTAATGACTTATACAATGCTCCCAAGGGAATATGCCTTTCCCTACTCACAAAGCAACCTTAATATCTTAAATTCTCCACATAACCTGGGTCCTGCTGAATAAGTTTTAGAGTGTGGTAATCACCCATATAAACCTCCCATTTCAGAATAGCATTTAAGTACAGTGACCAATACGCCACTTGTCTCTTAATTCAACTCATTCAACTTTTCCCAACCATTAGAATATTAGAAAGAGGGACTTCACTACCTCAGAAAATCTCCAGAATGTCCAATTTCCTGCTTGCCAACGCATAATTTACCTTTTAGTGCCTCACTCATTCAATTCAGGGTCCAGAGACCCTGTGGGTGTGGCATTTATTGTGTCTGAATGTTGGGGAGGTGTTTGGGTTAAGTAGAGGGATTGAGACAAAGACAAAATGGTATCTGAAGAGGAACAAAGGGATTTATATGACTTTAGCTTCATGTTACACAATGGTGCCATGATGGCCTCCTTTTAATTCAATTGTTTCTTCAAAGCACATTTCCTGATTAAAAATGAGAACTGATTAATACTCAAAGTATTATATTCCAGAACATTGGTCATAAGTCTTCCAGTTCATAGATTACCACTACATGTAAGTTTCTTTATAATAAAATTAGTATACTTTTGTTTTATGGAACTATCAAACTCAGAATCACTGAATTTTCTTGAAAAGCCTAAATGAAATATGATAGCTTTCAAAACTAATTATTATGGTCATTAAAATAAATTTCTTCTCCAGCAACTTAAAAGTGGAACCCGAACTTAAAATTATGATAGCTTAGATCCAGGGAGAACAAGCTTATTTTCCTAAGAATATAGCAAGAATATTGATTAAAGATATTTTGTAAAACCTACACGTTAGATAACTAGGAGTGAGTCAAATATAAACCTTTTGTAATGTAACTGTGGTGCTGGAGGTGAAATGGGATAGGAGCAGGGTTTTTATGTCTCGGGAAATCAAGGATCTCATAAAAATTTCTTGGTGATCTTATGTTTCCGTGTCAGCCTCAGGGACTATATGAAGATGTAGCAATCAATGCCAGTGTAAGACTATTGGGAAGATTGAAGTATTTAAATACTTTTTAAGATGTCTGTGAAATGAACTCTGATTGTTTTAAAGTTTATGATACTGAATGCCAAGGGATACCATTGTCTCCCTTGAACTCACTTTTCTTCCTTTTCTTTCCCTTGCCTGCTTCAAAAACAGTTATTCTTCAGAAAAAAAATCACCAAGTCCTTGTTCTTAAAGAAAAGTGACTGTTGGGCAGAGCTGGATTCTGCAGATACACTTATCAGGTCATTAGTGTGTGTGACTGTGACAGCTGTCACTTTGCTCTTTGAACTGAGCACTGGATTGCCTATCCTGGCTTTGCCTACCTCCAAGCCCGGTCACCATACTGCTGTCTGTGTCCATGGGCTAATCTCTTCACCTTCCTTCATCCAGTTCCCCCATCCCCCTCCACTCTGAACTCTGTCAGTCTGTTTCATATATCCATGCCTCTGGTTCTATTTTGTTCATCAGTTTTTTATTTATTAGAGTCCACATTTAAGTGAGATCATATTGTATTTGATTTGTCTGGCTTACTTCACTTAGCATAGTGCTCTCCAGGTCCGTCCATGCTGTCACAAAAGGTAGGAGTTCTTTTTTATAGCTGCATAGTATTCCATTGTATAAATGTAGCCCAGCTTTATTATCCACTCATTTACTGATGGGCACTTGGGCTGTTTCCAGTAAATAATATTGCTATGAAGTGTTTTGAATATAGGGACAAATTATTAAAGTGTCAGGGAACAACAGCCTTATAACAAGGCTAATATAGATCCAACACCATTGTTAGACTTAACCATTTACCTTTTCAGGGGGGAAAAAACACACACAATTTTTGAAATATAAAAAGGAGCTACAGTTGCAGGGGCAATGTCTGGAACCAAACCCAGGTGTGCAGAAACTCTAGTCACTCCATGTGGGGCTTCTTTTTGAGCCAATATGATTAGCATATTGGTTTCGTGGCTCAGACTGGGAGAATGAATTAAAGTACTTTTCCTATTATCCAGGTTTAAGTACACAAGATCCTGATGCAATCTTGGTTTTTATGCCTTTGGTCATCAGAATAAATGCAAATACTGAAAAACAAATGTCGACCTCCTGGTTCAGTGACTTGCCTCTCAGGAGGAACGATTCTATTTCTTGTTCCTTGGGAAATTTGCAAGTCATTAATCAGTGTAATTCCATGTTCAAATGAAACATGGAACACGAAAAGGTGGCAGTGCCTTCTTTTATTTCACAGACACATTTCTCAGGATTCCTTATCTAGCCTTCAGGGAGCTGGTCAGAACATGCCCTGGCCTCAGGGACTCTGCAGAATCCCTCCCTGCCTCCCAGCCTGACCCTTCCCTACAGCCTTTTTGCATGATCCCCTCTGGTCTGGAGGATGTCCTGCAGTCTGTGTTTTATCATTATTCTTTGCATAGTATTTATTGAATCTATACTCTTAAGTTATTTGATGATAAGACCAGGACCTTGGGGTTTGTAAAGTGTATCAAATAATATTAATGAAAGTTATAACAAATATATATATATATATATATATATATATATATATATATCTCATAGAACAAACTACTGTAATATTATAATAAAGTCCCATGTTGCTGCTATTCTTAATGTTTTGGTTGTTTTAAGTGAAATATTTATATAAGTGTTTAAATTTGTAGAGTTAAACCTGAAGATTTATCTTGCCTTCCAGAATGTGATGATTTGATATGTATTCGATGAAATGACAATCTTCTTTGTGAATATAAAGAGGATGCATGTACCTATGAATGTTACAGCTGTTTTTGCGGTTGATGATGATGATGGAATGAGAGTTTTGATTTTTTTAAAACATTTTTATCAACTGATCTCTAAGTCTCTTACTGTGTGTTACCATTTTCAAAATACATATTTCCCATTATAAAAGTTTTAAATAGATCGGAATTGCATTGTGTGTTTGCTGCTGCCAGATGTTAATTCTCCAGTGTTGTAAAATAAAATGTTCCCCAAACATTTCATGGTGTTGCCTTCCTCTGGTTGAGCTATTTCCCCACTCAGACTCATTCAGTTTATGATACTTGCCAGTATGTGAAGACCACAGTCAGTTTCACTGCTGAGTGGAAGAAATTCAGTCTGTGTACACTATAGAGCACATAGGCACACAAACATGAATTGTTTAATTTTGCAAAGTCTCAAAGGATCGTCCAGGATTTTCCTGTCTTCATCCTCTTTCAGGTTGGTTTCTCTAAGATTAATTATCTAGAATCTAATTATCTAGATTCTAGATAAATATTTGTGTTTGCTTGGTTACTTTGTGGAAGTTCTTAATTAGGCATGGAGAGCCCTTTCTCGGCTCTCCCTGAGTCCCTGGAAAAGCCAGACTTGCTGTGTGCAACAGGACTCCTGCCAGGCTGTGAGCCCTGTGGGCAGGAGGCCTGGCTGGTGGGTAATGCCTGACGAGCTTCCCTCTGTCCTAGCGTGACCTTCTCCAGGTCTACTGGACTGAGGGATGTTTGGCATTGTTCATCCACACGCCCCTGCCCTCGCTCTGAAAACCCGCTCGTCTGTTTGATTTTTTCACCCTTTCTAAAGCAATGACAGCCACCAGCCTTCCTCACTGGCGTATCCCATTCATAAATTAGCCATCTCAAGGAGTAAGCCCATTGTAGGAGTCTTCATAAAGAAATTGACACCTGCCGAGGCCGATTTGGCTCAGTGGATACAGTGTCGGCCTGCAGACTGAAAGGTCGCAGGTTTGATTCTGGTCAAGAACATGTACCTTAGTTTTGGGCACATCCCTAGAAGGGGGTGTGCAGGAGGCAGCTGATCGATGTTTTTCTCTCATTGATGTTTCTAACTATCCCTCTCCCTTCTTCTCTGTAAAAAAAAAAAAAAAATCAATAATATATATATATTTTTAAAAAGAAATTTATACCTTCTCTTCAGCTGAGGTTAGTTCTAGCTCTTGCCAAGCTGGACAATCATACAAAGCAGAGTAATTTGGATTTTTTTTTTTTTTTTAGTAGTGGTGGAGAGGATGAGTAAGTCTCTCCAGCATCGTATGAAAGACCCACAGGCTTGATTCCTAGATAAGCAGTTGCATATTTCTTTAATTTCCTTTGGTGTCTGCAAAGTTGCGTCTGAACTAGAACTATTGGCTTCTAGTTTCATGAGACTGATTATGAAGAAACCCTGGCAAGAGAGAGTGGGTGGCTGCAAATTCATGCCTATTGCTGGGAAACTATTCCTATGGTGATGCATAGCAAACAGCTGGAGCTCTGCTCCAGAGGCAGGTGGTCAGTGGGTCCGCTGACGTGGTGAGCAGAGCCCACAGGAAGGCCATTCCCAGGATGGCAGGTGCTCCTCACGCAGAGCCGCAGCCCCTCCCGTCCTTCCCGGGAGCACCTGCCCTGAG